TTCATCTTTATCTTTATCTTTATCTTTATCTTTATCTTTATCTTTATCTTTATCTTTATCTTTATCTTTATCTTCATCTTTATCTTCATCTTCATCTTCATCTTCATCTTCATCTTCATTTAAAACGTAACGATTATTTTCCGAGCAAAAAATGAAACTCAAAACATAACGATTATTTTCTGAGTTAAAAATAAAACTCAAATGATAATCGTTATGTTTTGAGCAAAAAAAATAAAACTCAATTAATAACGATTAAAAAGTAATTTTTATAATAAAAGTTATAACCGTCCCTGATTATAAGACTGCATACCATTATTTTTGTAAGGATGCTGATTAAAAAGGTGGAAATTTTGGTGAAATTTTGCAGAATTTTAAAAATTTTTACAAAGTTTGGATTTATATGGCGTTCGTTAGGTAATCAGCTATATTTTCATAAGATATAAGCATTAAATAAACTAAAGAGATGTAGCCAAAACTTGCAAAAATGTCGAGTCCCACTATATATTTAGGTCCTTGTATTTTTTCCAAAGAATCCCCGTTACGATTTCTTCATAAAATTTTTGTTACGAATACGGTTGCCAGACGTACTGATTTTATCAGTACTGTACTGATTTTTTAACTCTTGTACTGATTTTATTCATTTCTTCAATCAATACGCCAATGTCCTGATTTTTTTAATTTGTACTGATTTGTACTGAATTTTCAATTCAAACAAAATACTTTAGTATTTTCTTAAGGTTTTTACATAACATTGGAACTTTCTTAAACTGTACTGTAAAAAAATAAGAAGAAAATAACTTAATTATAGTTGACATGTTTTAGATAATATTTGGTATGCCCAAGAAATTAATACAACAAAAAGATCAATCGTTTTATGGGCATATCGCCGGGTCGTTACGTACCAGTTGCGATAATATGATGGAACTTAAATTATTTAAAAAGAAGGCTTACATTTTTGGCAAGTGTTGTTGGTTATCTCGAAAATAACTTTCAGTTTAATAACAATAAATTTCAATATTCGAATGGCTTTTGCCTACAACTTACAACTACTTTTTCTCAATTAACTGACTTTGTAAAAGAGTTTTGCATACAAGACATAGAGCTAGATACTCTTGTTCTTAGTCTTTAACAGTTTTTGCGTAGTTGAAAAATTATTTAAGCCATGAGGAAATATAGATGAGCTCCTTAAAAAGTGGTACTTTTTCACAGTATGAGAGGATCTTAAGAATAAAGTTTGTTTCCTGGCGCAAAGAGAGAAACCGGCTTCTAATTAAAATTTTTGAAAGTGAAGTTCAAATTAAAAGTAATTTTAAAATGAAAGGTGTAGAATTCGTTGACTTTTTAAACACTGAAAATGGGAATTTATTTGCTATTCAAAGTCACAAATATAAAATAACTTATTGGCTCCTGTGTATAATGATGTGTACACTCATGTTAAAATGAATAACACTTCTATTTTTATTGAACTATATTTTATTTATATACCAAAATCTGGTTAAAAACAAGAACTCAGGCGTTTTAAATTATTTTCTGTTACTTGCATTAATAATTTTGCTTTGAATGAAAATGTAATGAAAAGTACTGATTTTTTTAGCATGAAAAAGTCTAATGTACTGATTTCGCGCATAAAAAATCTGGCAACCCTAGTTACGGATGTCTTAAATTTAAGTGTGAAGTTTAATTCACAACACTTAAGGCTCTGTTATACATACTTGGCATTGCTTGAGTGTTGTCACATAAGGAATCTGTTAAATGAGCTTCGCGTGTAAGCGGTTACTCAACGCACAGCACTACATACGTAGAAGTCTGTTGGTTTTTGATTTCTACGTAAAAATGGTATAGCAGTGCACGCAATGCCAAGTATGCATAACAGAGCCTTTACAAAATAACGAAATAAAGCAAACCTCTCTGGGAAGACAATGTCTGAGGATAATTGTATCAGGCATGTGCACATAGTCATTAAAAACGGGAACGATTCGCCATTCCTAAGCTTTACGTGTTCATTTCTCAAAATATTGCCCTCCGACTAAGCAATAGTGCAAGACTTTGTACTAATATAGCCATTTTGCAGTAAAAAAGTAACCTAGTGCAAATGTTACAATATAAGAAGGCAAACTTTTTCGATAGAAAAGAAAACGTCTTCTTGGCGTAATGCTTGGCTACGTATAACGAGTTTCCTTTGTTAAACAAAAATAATTTGTAATGAATTTATCAGTATCTGTTTTTGAGATTTATTTAATGAATTTACTAGTCTTTCGACTTGAGATTTATTTAAAAAAAAAACATGTGAATTTTAGTTGAAACATTTTAGCCGTTTTTATCCGCTTTTTTGGCCAATTTATCCTGGCAACACTGGCTGTATGTATGGACAGCTTCACGAAAAAATTCCAAAAGAACCATTGTACATATAACCATTTCACTGAGGTAATAATTATATTTTTCAATCTCGGGGTCTGGGCATCTGCAAAGGTGGTTACCCTAGGCAGATATTATATACGAAGCTATTACAAAACTTATGACCATCACGTAAATTTTCCGAGAAAATTACTTTATTCATTTTTCTTAGTAGGGTTATTTCTGAATTTCCATAAGCCTTTCTGATTTACTAAGTTTATTTAGGAGTAGGCGGCCGCTGTTGTGTAGTGGCTAGCGTGCGCTTTACCATACCGCAGGGCCTGGCTACAAGCCCGGTTCAACACAATGTAAATAAAGAAAAAAGAAAAAAGTTTTTTCTAATAGCGGTCGCCCCTCGGCAGGCAATGGCAAACCTCCGAGTCTATTTCTGATATGAAAAACAGCTTCTCATAAAAATACAATCGCCGTTCGGAGTCGGCGTAAAACTGTAGGTCCCTCCGCTTTTTGTGACAACATCAAGGCGCACGCCACAAATCGGAGGAGAAGCTCGGCCAAACACTAACATATGTGTAAGCGCAAAACTATGTATTATTATTATTTTTAAATAATGCTATTGTTGTTTTTTAGTAAAAATTTAATTTTTAGATTTTCATGACTTCAAAATTGTTGGTGTTTTTTACTTACCAAGCTGTTGGAGTCCGAACATGACTAGAAATCCGACCAGCAATGAAAGGTAAGCAATGAGCCCGGCGTGATTTTTTTGCAGAATTTCGAAGAAAACCACGTACAGCAACGTTCCACAGGCAAGTCCCTGCAGTATGGCAGATGACATGGTGGGCGATGTTATACCTTCGTTATGACTGATCAGTATGCCAATACCGATGCCAATGGGACTGACCACGGCGAATGTGAGGATGTATACCGTGCAAAGTAAGAAACGCGTACGCGCCACAATTAATTCGACGCCGACACAGAAAGCCAGTACCAACTTGTGCGCCGACACGGCACCGAACATGAACCACACATCTGAGGCATCACTTTCTAGACCTATGGCCATGCCTTCGAACATTTCGTGCAAAGATAGTGCAAGGACAATAAATAGACCGCGCAGAGAAGACGCGAACACATCGCTGCCGTCGGTGCCCACTTCGAGCGGGAAATGTGAGTGGCCGTGTTGCTGCTGATGAGCATGATGGTGGTGATGATGGTGGTGGTGGTGTGGTTGGGGTATTACCTGGGGAACTTCGTATGATTCCTTGCCCTCTGTTTGCTCTTTCAACTGGTGATCGCCCGACATATCCTCCTTGTATTGCTTTTGCCTATACTTTTGATTCTCTACGTCATTGGCAATCAAGTTTTGCAGTGAAAGTGAACCCGTTCTTCCAGGTGTTTCGGATACGCCCGCCACCGCCAATGCCCCCTCAGTTTTGGGTTCGCTTTTGGTTTCAAAACTGGCAATATCGCACCCCTTATTAGGTTCCTCTGAAAGCGCAGTGGGGTCTTTATTGCTACCCCTCATTAAATAACTGTTGCGTATGCTACGACCGCGTTCGAAAGCGGCGCCAGCATCATGCTCCATCAATCGCACATGTTGATGTATGTACGAGTATAGGAGCTCGTCGATCAGATACATCAGGAAGAAGCCACTACACATGAGTAACTCTGCCATACTAAAACTCAGTGTGGGTAGTATATCGCACTCCTGCAATTGCTCGATAGACTCCTGTACTTCCGGTAGCAGATGTAAGAATGTTGTGGCCAGCAGCACACCACCACCAAAATATAGCAGGCACTTCACAACCGTTGCCGAACGTGTATTTGCATGTCTTTCTGTCCATCGAAAAAATCGATTCAGCAGGAATGGAATGCTGCCGCATAGCGCGCTGGCGCAGAATAGCACCACCATGGCGGTCACCTTGGCGATGAGGAGGTCGTGACTGCTCGACGTGTCATCGTTGTGATCGTCATGCTTTGGCTGTCTATCACTACTATGTGTTGCTACTGTGGTGGAATTCAGGTCACTTATACCGGCGGAGTGTGCGTGTAATGCCAAATAGTTAAGGTCATCGATCTGTATTAGGCAGCGCAGAAAGTTGTTTATCTGAGTTTCGTTCATTTTTAGCTATTCTACAGTTGTTGCTCTCGTTCGCTTGATGAATTATGTAGTAGAATGTAGTATTCAAAACTGTGATTGTTGATAATCCCGCAACTGGAATGTCATTGAAAAACAACATAAAAAATTAAAATTGTTACATTTCATTGCACAAAAGAAGATAAGAACATACTTTTGACGTATGTAAATATTTATCATATACTAGCAGGGAGATAAGAAATACTGCAGTGTATTTTTAAAATCAGTTTTATTTCAAGTACAGGCGAATAGGCGTTTGCTTCGCTGTGGTTAAAAAAGATTTATAACTTAGTTCGTCATCAGTATTAAATGGGGGTATACGCTGTTTTAACACTATAAATACCTGGTTGGATTAAATGACTTTCAATATTTGCATACACCTACGGCTGTAAAACTATCGTCAGTGTTCGCACTCGATGATTTCGATAGTTAACACGGAGCATTATTGGTTGCTACTATTTACACTGAGGGGCGAATACAGAAAATTATTATCTTGGGAGGGTTTCCGGAGGGCGTGGTCTAGGGAAAAATATTATAGAAGAAAAAATAAGTTGCATCGTAAACATTTTTATTAGTGGTAAAAGTTGTCACCAATAATCATCTTTCAACGTATATAATGGGTACATACGGTTGCCAGACGTACTGATTTTATCAGTACTGTACTGATTTTATTCATATCTTCAATCAGTACGCCAATGTCCTGATTTTTAAAATTTGTACTGAATTTTCTATTCAAACAAAATACTTTAGTATTTTCTTAAGGTTTTTACATAACGTTGGAACTTTCTTAAAACTGTAAAAAAATAAGAAGAAAATAATTAAATTATAGTTGACATGTTTTAGATAATATTTAATATGCCCAAGAAATTAATACAACAAAAAGATCAATCGTTTTATGGGCATATCGCCGGGTCGTTACGTACCAGTTGCGATAATATTAAATTAAGCTTAAATTATTTAAAAAGAAGGCTTAAATTTTTGGCGAGTGTTGTTGGTTATCTTGAAAATAAATTTCAGTTTAATAACAATAAATTTCAATATTCGAATGGCTTTTGCCTACAACTTACAACTACTTTTTCTCAATTTACTGACTTTGTAAAAGAGTTTTGCATACAAGACATAGAGCTAGATACTCTTGTTAGCGAATTCTTAGTCTTTAACAGTTTTTGCGTAGTTAAATAATTATTTAAGCCATGCGGAAATATAGATGACCTCCTTAAAAAGTGGTACTTTTTCACAGTATGAGAGGATCTCTTAAGATTCTTAAATAAAGTTTGCTTCCTGTCGCAAAGAGAGAAACCGGCTTCTAATTAAAATTTTTGAAAGTGAACTTCAAATTAAAAGTAATTTTAAAATGAAAGAATTCGTTGACTATTTAAACACTGAAAATGGGAATGAGGTCATTATTGCTATTCAAAGTCACAAATATAAAATAATTTATTGGCTCCTGTGTATAATGATGTGTACACTCATGTTAAAATGAATAACACTTATATTTTTAATGAACTATATTTTATTTATATACCAAAATCTGGTTAAAAACAAGAACTCAGGCGTTTTAAATTATTTTCTGTTACTTACATTAATAATTTTGCTTTGAATGAAAATGTACTGAAAAGTACTGATTTTTTTAGCATGAAAAAGTCTAATGTACTGATTTCGCGCATGAAAAATCTGGCAACCCTATGGGTACAACTAATAATATGGACCGTTCATAGAGTTGTGTCGTTCACTAACTGTTTCGTTCATTGTACTATTTCACTTTACGAACTAAGTGAACTAGTTCTTAATTCTAAATGAACGATTTATGTAAGAGTTGCAATACTCCAAAAGTTTCTAAACTTATACTAAAAGTTTAATGGGAAATTTATTAATTTTCATTGGAGATATCGACCCCTTTGCGCGAAATTATCGTGTGTGCCATTTTTTCGAAATTGACTTGTTGATGCAACTTTCTTCCACACCTCACATCGCATTTGGGATGTCGAAAAAACATCGAAAATATCGATGTTTTGTTTCGATGCATCGAAAATTTTCCGCTCGATGTATAAATGGTCGATGCATCAATGCATCCATGTTTGTGTTGTTTGGGTCACCATAATTTGTAAGTACACCAAAATAAAAATTTGTTAAATTGTTTGAAATTGTTTTCGTTTTATTTCCAGGAAAACTATATGCGTATCGATGTACGCCCTCCGATGCATCGACAAATATCGATGTAAGTTTCGATGCATCGATGGGAGGAAAAAATCGATGTATTTTTGCCACTGGCATCCCTACAACGCATCATCTGTTAAAATATTGTAGCGCAAATTTTTCATTGTGTGCAAACTTATCGTATGATCCAGTAAAAAATTAAGTATACGAAATTCCAAAAAATTTTAAAGGTAGAAAACACGCTGTCCTGTAAAATTTGGTTTCTGGCACATACGATAATTCCGCGCAAAGAGGTCGTTATATCGTCGCCAGAAACATGAATGTGTAAAAATTTTAATTTTGGGAAATAATGTTTGAAAGTTTTTTTTACCAGGCGTAACTCTACATTTATGTGGGAATGATGTAATCTCCAATCACATTTCCCAACTCCTGGCAACCCTGGTTGGCAACATCGGCAATCAGGGGAAAAGTAAATTTCGAGCGTAAGCAGAGCGGAGTTGCGTTTTATATTCCAGCGAAGACTGTCATACAGCGAAACACAAGTGTACATCTATTTCAATTAATTACCTTTTTATATGTAAATACTTAAATTGTTATTACAACTTATTATTCTTTATGAATAAAATACAAAAACCCATATTTTTGTAATTGATATGGCAAAATTTGTGGTTTGCGTCCACGCATGGTATTCTGAATCTTGTTATAAAATAGGACATCTAAAGGTTAATCAAGTCAACCCAATAACTCAAAATTGGTAAATTTGCACATTCCTGTGTCTGGCATAAGGGTGACGATATGTTTGTAGGTACTTAAATACTGATGTTAATTTCCGTAATTCTACTTATCACTTAGCTTTCAGTAACCTTAACAAAAGCCTTGACTTATTTTATTTATTTTAGTTTGTTTTGAATTTTTATTGACACTATTTTATTTGAAATTTTTTAGTTACAGTATTATCTTAGGTTTAACATAGCGTTAGTTTTTCAGTACACGGACCCCCAGGGGTCCACGGGAGACTTGACGGGATTCTACCTTGGTGTGAAAAAATATGGGGGGGGAGCCCACGAAAATTTATCTAGTTTCGATCGTAAAGAACCAAAATGTTTGCTGGATAGCCTCTTTATTTCACTCAATTTTTTTTAGTAGTGTAATGTGCTCTTGACGCACTGCTGTACTTACCGTACAATCGTCTTCATACAACGGATGTTGGTATAACACTGAGTGGAATGAGGCGAAAATTGCTGGCGGCAGAGATCTGAGCACTTGTGTCTTTCCAATGCCTCAGGATAGTACGTCACCATTACCTTTCCTGAAGAGATTCTATAATGTTGAGTTCCCTGAGGTTGAATGCTGGTTTAATTCCAGCACTGAGTCCGGACGTACAGATTGTCGGATCTTTACTGATGGCTCCATAACTGACTCTAGGTCAGGAGCTGGGGTCTTTTGCGAAGTTAATGGGGATAAGCTTCACCTTTCTCTTGGGGAATATGCTTCGTTTTCCGGGATGAGGTATTTGCAATCCTCAAAGCCAGGGACTATGTACTGGAAAATAGGTGGAGGGAAAGGAGTTTACGTGTCTGCAGTGACAGTCAAGCCGCACTTAAGGCATTGGTCAGCCCCCCTATTTAAGTAGTTCGGCAATGAAAGTCTCGACTAAATTTTGTTGGTAAACATAGCGAGCTTGCTTTACTCTGGGTGCCAGGTCACTCGGGAGTACCTGGTAATGAGACACCTGACCATTTACCCACATTTGGCTTAGACCAGGCATTCCTCGATCCGCAACCAGTTATGGCATTTCCCACTTCGGCCAATGAAGCCATCATCGAAAACTGGATGAATACTTCGCTCAGCAATGACTGGGAGGTATCGTTGGGATGCAGGTGGGCAAAACTCAAGTTGCCTTCAATTTCAGGTCCATCTAGTTTTCTGCTCTCACTGAGCAGACGGGACTGCAGACAACTTATTGGACTACTGACTGGTTACTTCACGTGGCACAAACATCTGACTATGACAGGCGTAAATGACAACTTCATTTGCCCATCCTGCCTTGAAGAGGATGAGACGGTGGAACCCTTCTTGTGCTTCTTGCTTGCTTGTTTATTTGTCATCGTTTTTTATAGATTAGGTATTTTCTCTATTGTCAGTTCCTAAATTTAAAGCTTGACGTAAAAAGACTTGCGGTTTTGTTGTTTCAAGTTTTGTGTTTTAAAGATGTGAGTGGTAAATATTTTTGGCATCACTTTAAAACTCGCAGCGATAAAAATATAAATGATGCAATCAACTGAAATAAACTATTTTACAAATACGGCAAATTCAAATTCATGAGTGAGCCGAACATGTGAGGAGTTTATGGTGAAGAGAATGTAAATAACGCTAGCGCTCGGAGTGATCTTTAAAAATATAACTCCTCAGAAAGTACTTTGATGGCTTTACGAGCTCTGTTCACATTATTTTAATAAATAGAACAAAAGATAATATTTTATTTTTATTTTTGACACTCCGAATTCAGTCTTGGAATTCCCCTGCGATGCAAATTTACACTTAACATTTCTTGTGGGCTTTCGGAATATGTTAGAAATGTAGCAGCAGGGGGTCCACCCAAACCAGTAAAATTTCGAAAGGGGTCTACGAGAAAAAAAAAAATTGGAAACCTCAGGTTTAAACGCTCGAGCTGGCTGGTTTAAACTAAGTTTAGCAATTAAAATATCAACCAGCTGTCCAAGATAAGCGCAGTTTACGTGAACAAAGTTTAAACTTGCATTGAAAAACTGGCCCTTAAACAATCAAACAAAAAATTGTTCAATTAATCTCAATTTAGTTCTGAATATAAATCTAATCGGACCATAGATACCCATTTTTCTTAGATCTGAAAAGCAGGAAAAGGAATAATAAAAAAAATTGCCCGAGATAGGTGTAAAACC